AGGCTGTATATTATTCCGTTAAACATTCATATAAATTAAAAGATATAATCTAGGTTAAGGCTTTTATGTCCAACAGATGGCACTAACTCTGTGAGTATGACGACCTAAGTTTGCTTTTCTGTGAGGATGAACTAAAGCAGATCATCATCTATCTATCTATATAAATAAAAATGTAATGTTTGTTTGTTCCTACCGATTCCTTTGAAATTTTGACACAACGCTGCATTCAAATACGCACGTGTTTTTATATAATATACATGTCGAAATTCAACCCCACTGAAGGGAGATGGTTAGGATTAAGGCTTACGGTAAAGAACTCTGCTTCTATTTATACTATTTTAGATGCAGGTTTTTGCGTTTTTGATTGCGTTTTAATAGGGTATGTCAACAGAATGTACACTAAGAAGAAATTTTTTGAAAAATTCCCCCCCCACGGGGGAAGTGTTGTAAATTTATAACGGATACATTTTGAGCCACAACAACGCGTGGCGGGGTCTGCTAGTTAATAATAAAGTAGATTAACTCTTAAACTCATTATCTAGTAACAGTAGTTTTCAATTTTGAAGCACAGTATATTTAAAATGTTAATGTGTCAACATGATTATTTCTTAAATTGGATTAAAATATAGATTTCATAACAATTTTTGTTTTCTTTGATGAGTAATAGTCTGTCACTCAATTCTTTTTTCACCTCATAATCTTTCCATTATAATGTAAATTTGTACAATTATTTTCAACAGTTGTCAATTCAAAACCTTAAATTATTGGAACCTTGTAAGTCTTGGATTCTACATACATCCTGTGGGTCTTCTCATATCTGAAGAGTTGGTAAACTCTGCAGTTTTTTTTTTGTAGCTGATGTTTGTGTTTATCCTATTAATTGCTTCATATATGCCTTTTAGTTTTGTATTAAAGTCAACTACTGTAGTAGGCTTTATTTTTGGTTTGCACTTGTCTAGAATTACTATTCTTGTATTTTTTAAATTAGTTGTTCAATCATATGTGACAAATAGCTGTGTTGGTTCACAACCTCTTCAATGTATTCTAACTCTCAGTGGATATCTAATATTGAAGCTTTGGGAGGAAAATTGTCTGTTTTATGAGAGCTGTGAAAACAGATATTATAAATTTGAGTAGATCTCACACAACTACTGGAATATATGGGGGGTGTGCAAAAATAGGTATACAGTTGTTATTATGGAAAAAACATACAGGGAGAAAATAGGGAAAAAAAAAACATTTATTTTTATGTACAAATTAAATCACAAATAAGGAATACAAACAAATAAAATAATAAAAATAATAATAATGAACACCAAACATTTGTATTTCTCAGATTCTCAACTGTATACCTCCTTCGCACCCTCCCCTGTATGTTGAGGTTAAAAACATCGGTTATTAAAAATTTGTGCTAGAATTTATAGTTTTGTTTAAATTTATTCAGTTTCTGCAAGTAATTCGTATGTGAAAAGTTAAATAGTGTTCAGTTAAAAAATAGTGATTCTTTGTGTTTTATTTTTTAACAGACTTATTTCTCTATTATTTTTAATAGAAAAATACTGCTGAAAAGCTTGGAGAAGAATTGAAGCAATTAGAAAGTACTTTATCTGATAAGGAGCAACAAATAGAAAAATTATCTCAAGAAATTCGAGAAGCTAATTTACTCTCTTTATCAATGACTCCTGCTGAGGAAATTAAGCACACATTGGAAGGTAATTTGACTATAAATTTTAACACTGTTGAATCCTACAGTTTAAGAAATATATATTTTTAAAATTTTTATGATAGGTAGCTTTCATAACAGACCTGGAAGTTCTAGGAAAATTATAGGTTCTCCAAGACAGTTAGAAAATGCAGTTCCAACTAATAAGAATCCTCATGGTGTTTGGGTTTGAGAAAATAATAAACACACATCACAGGATTAATGTTTTTTTTTATGATTTAGAGTAAAACTGGTCATTTTACACTCATACCAAAGGAGAAAATATTCTCAATGGGAGCAGTTGATTAAATATTGTATATAAAAGTTTTTTTAATTATTCTTTTATTTGGAAATTTTTATGAAGTTATTTTAACTGGATATATATTCCAGTATTTTGAGTTGCCAAAATTTTCATTTACTAGAATTTTATAGTGATTATTTCTTAAATTGGATTAAAATATAGATTTCATAACAATATTTTTTAGGATTGGATTTCATAACAATAAATATATGGGAAAGTTTGTTTCATAAATTTACAGTAATCAAAATCAGTTATATCAGATGAATGTCATAATTTTGAAACTATATAGAAGATTATAGAATTCTTTTCTTTAATTCTTCTCAATGATTAAAAGTTTAAAGTAAATATTTGTTGTTTGTTATATTGAAATAACTAAAAATTTAAATATATCATGTAAGTATGAATAATTTAATTATAATTTATCAAAAATTTTTAAATACTTTTCAAACTATTTGACTTGATCTATTAAAATTTTCTAAATCAAATTTGTTGAAATAACAGAATAACTATGATTATGCCTGAAAGAATATTAACATGTGGCATTATAAATAAAATTATTTATGAAACTACATTTGTCTTTTTAAACTTTCATATTTTTCATATTAACAAATCTTTATACTATATCTTAAAAGTTTTCTCTTATTTATGTAAAATTTGTTAATATCACGAAGATTTTAAAACTTGTTTGAGATATAATAGAAGAATATTTTTAAAATATATATATAATGTAAGACAAGATAAAAGTTTTAAAATCTTGAAAATTATATCATTGATGATTACATATAACCTTGTAAAATAGTATACTTCTATTTGGCTACTTTAACTGCAGCTATGAAAAACTCCAAAGTTTTAAATGTTGGTATAATATTTATTTATACATACAATAATTGAATACTGTTGCAATTAATTCATTTTTATATAGCAGAAAATTTCATTTGATGGTTTGTCTATGCACATACCAGTTGTAGGTGTAGTGCCAATTACGTTTTTTTTTGCAATTTTTGTTCTTGCAATTCAAACTCATTGAGTATTGCTTTTATTACAATTATGTTAAAATTTTATTGTTAACTTTTTGAAATTGTTATCACTAAAATATGGAATGCCATACTATGCCACATTTTGTTTTTTATTCTGTAAGTATATTTTATTTTATATACTAAAGAATTACATCTGATGTTTTTATATTGATGTAATTTGAAAAGCAGACACTCTATATCATGCCATAATGAGAATGTATTAAAATTACTTTACTCACAGTTATCTAGGAGAGGAAACTACTGTTTGTTTTTAATAACTGTGTCTATGAGTGATTTTTGTTTCTAAATCAAAATAATATATATAGTAAAAAATTTCTGTATTTTTTAATGCAAAAAATGTGTTTGACACAGCATGCTTCTGATGATAAATGCTCTTCAATTGTTTCTTAAAGAAAATTGATTGAATTTCCTGATAAGACATTTATATATAAATTGCACTTTCATCGTCATAGAAAATGTAAATGGTATCCTAAATACCAAATGTATTGTTAAAGAAAATGTTGATGATATAATAAATTTTAAATAGATGAACTTGTTGGACTGATAGTTGAATTGATATCAAAGTCCAGTCTCATTTAATTCAGTGTGATTTCACAATTATGGACTATTTTAAAAAGTTTGTGTTTTTATCTGATTCACCATTTATCATTTCAGTTGTTAATCTTATTATCATTGTTTTTACATTACAACTAGAATTAAATAGCAATTTTTATTTATGAATGCTGCTAATAGAAATTTTACTGTTTTTTATGTTTTGTGTGAAATGAAGATTGAATTTCATGAAATAACCTCTTTATACTGTAATTAAAAGAGGATAATTTATTAATTTAGTTATTGTTATAATGATTCTGTTTGTTTGATTTGCTTTAGAGAGGGTTTTTGATGACTATTCTAATCTCAAAAACTTTTTTCAACTATCTTTTAACTAGTAGTTTTTGAACATTTAAATGTAAAATAAAATAAATATTGTGTTTGTATTAATAAAAATGTAATGTTTTATAACTTTTGTAAAAAGTACTAAGTTTTAGAACTGTATCAAAATGTATGGTTTAATGCATTCATAATAATTGATAACATTAATAAAGTTGAAATTTTTGTTATGTAATTATATTATTTTGTAGGAAAGCAACTGATGGATTAAATTTAATAATAAACTGCCTTGAATTTTGTTTTTTATCAAATGCATCATTTTATTATTTTTCATTATATTTTCATTTTTTTAATCATTTCTAAAGACTCAGAAACATATCTTAAAATAGGTTTTTAATACAGGTCACCCATCGATTTTCTAGAAGTTTTGTTTCCACAGTCTTGCCAGACTATTTGTTTTGTCACACCAATTAAAATCATAAAATTATAACTGTAGCTCTGGTTGCAGGTTGTTCTGCACTCTTACAGCTCAGATCTGTCATGTTTGACTTCCAAGAAATGTTCAGTAACTCACTTTTTTAAGTCTAGTTGTGCTGCAATCCCAGATTTGTTTCTAACCTAACCTATCTTAACTCCACTTCTAGAATTTTAAGTAAAGTCAAACTCGATTATAATGAGCGTCACAGGACGGGCAAGATTTCCTTGTCATAATTGTTACTCATTATATTTGAAGAGCAGTGATGTTAACTGGGAGAATGACAGGATCTTCTATATTACTGGACCTGACACTGGAAACAGAAAAGAATAAAAGTTTGTGGTTGGTAATGTTTATCACCTTAAAGTGTTTGATTGTCTTATGTGTAGCATAAGCAGTTTTTAATGGTTCCTTGTTCCTAATTATCTTGTTAAGTAGGATAGAAAGAAACCACCACAATTTTTCTTAAATTCTTTATGTTAAATGTGATTATGTTGTAGTAAAATTATCTTCAGTGACCATGTGTGAATGTGACTAGACTAATCTTAGGAATATTCAATATTTGTGTCATATCAAATTTTACTTTTTATATTGTACTTTATAGTTTATTGACTATGGAAGTAATGCCTAAACTTTATTCTAAATTTAAGATATCTTAAATCTTATAAAGTGATAAAACCTCATTCTCCTATATTCAGATGAAATACAGGTAGCCCCTGTATAACACGGCACTTCTACAGCACGGATTCACTCTAACACGGTTCGAGAATTGGTACCACCCCCGTATAGCACGGTACTGTTATAGTACGGATTCACTCTGACACGGTTCGAGAATTGGGTAAAACCCTCGTACAACATGAAATGTAATAAATTTTTACATACTTAACTAATAATAGTTCACGAAAATTATTATTTTCGTGAACTATTAGTACTTAAGTATGAAAATTTTTTTTTCTCGCCTTCTGTCGATACACATGGTCCTTCTCGAAACTTATTTCAATGTTGCTAGAACTCAACGCTTCTGCTTCTGATGTTGCCAGATGTTTTCCCCTTATTCCATACTTGCTTTATTCTTCATAAGTGCTTAGCACCATATAAGGAAAATTACAAAGATCTTAAAGATAAGTGTACATAGTTTCATAAGTGTACCAAGGAAAAAGTTAAAGTTGCAAGAAGATGCATACCCTATAGTTTTTGAAAATCAACTGTCATACTTTATTAAGTTAGCAAAGAATGTTTATAGCAATCTTGTGATGAACAGCAGTTCCAAGAGTGGAGTCAAAGGAACAATACAACAAGATTTGATGAATTTCAAAAAGAAGTAATTAGTATGAAAGGCTTTATACTTTTATTAAGTATTAAAGAAAATCATATTTCAAATTGATGAAGATAATAGTACTGAAGAACCTAAGGTAACAGTTTTCATTAAAATTTCAACCTCTCTCTTACTGTTCAGATATTTTATTATAATGTTAAACTTTCTAGTGTTTACTTCAAATTGTGTCTTGGTGAAAAATTAATTTGTGATAAATGGACCAAATTTCACTGTCTAGTAAGTCATCTTGCAGCTTTCAAGAAAAACTATATAGTAAAGAAAAACTCTCACTTATGCTTGATTGGTTTGTTGACATAGACTTATATACTTTGGACCAATATTCAGAAGAAACTAAAATTCATACAAGAACAACTGAAACGTGCAATCACTGTCCAGTTGAAATATTCAACAGACACTTTGCTTTGAGGTTCAACATTATTTACTCTTTTCCTGGAGCATGTCATTTAATACATTCAAGCAAACTGTTGATACTTCCACATTCATCATATTTAAAAGATTATTAAGTAAAATGGGGAATAACACTGCTGGCATAAGTCTTTTACAGGAAAACTAAAGGAAAAATGTAAACACTAGAGGATCATGAAAAAGTTGCATGCATATTACTGGATGAAGTTTATGTGGCTCCTAAACTAAGCTACAAAGGTTGCATTAAATAAGGACAGGGAACTTGAAAGTGCCACCACAATACAAGTTTTTATGCTTACCTCACTTGTCTGGAAATCTAGATGTTTTTGCTTTATTTCTTATGAAGAATTTAAATAGTAGTTTACTGTTTAAGATGACTATGGAAGTACTTAATGTAATAGATATAAGGTTTGGATCGGCGTCGAGTGACAACGTTATGAATTAATAAACGAATATAATGCAACTAATTAATGAATAATTTAATATTTGATGCTTACCAACTTTAACTTGTGGCGATAAGAACAAACAACAGAAAACAACATGGCGAACTGCGGCAACAACAGCGCCGCCACTAATTTAAACAAAATGAGACCTTACATTTGGCCCCGCTCA